TAACGAAGCTGAAAAAAAAATAAGTAATAAAAAAATGAAGCATACTTTTAGGGTCAAATAGGGCATAGGGGAAATATCTACCTGTAATGTTATGGGATTTGAGGCCATAACATCCGAGGCTTCTTTCAAAGCCTTCGAAGCACTCAATTCTCCCTCAGCTGCCACAATTTTGGCCTTGGCCTCTCGCAAGGCCTCCGCTTCGGCAGCCATGGCTCGTTGCATGGCAATGGGTAGGCGGACATCTTTTCTGGAAAATTCGAAAAAAAATATTTTTCATAGTAAAACTATAGAAAGGCAACAATCAGAAAGGGGGGATTTAAAAAATAATTTAAAAAAATACATTTTTTTTAATTTATTAAAAATTATTTTTTGAAGTAAACACTTTTAAAAAATATTTTTTCAAAGCGTGGATTTTTTTCAAAAATATTTTTTCAAGGCGCGGACTTTTTAAAAAAAATATTTTTTTATGGCGTGGATTTTTTAAAACATTTTCAAGACCTGGATTTTAAAAAGAATATTTTTTCAAGGAGTGGATTTTTAAAAAAAATATTTTTTCACGACTTGGATTTTTTAAAACATATTTTTTCAAAGCGTGGATTTTTTAAAAAATATTTTTCAAGGCGTGGATTTTTTAAAAAATATTTTTCAATGCGTGGATTTTTTTAAAAAATATTTTTTTCAAGGCGTGGATTTTTTAAAAAATATTTTTTCAAGGCGTGGATTTTTTGAAAAAATATTTTTTCAAGGCGTGGATTTTTTCAAAAATAATTTTTCAAGGCGTGGACATTTTAAAAAATATTTTTTCAAGGCGTGGATATTTCAAAAAATATTTTTTAAAGGTTGAAATTAAAGAAAAATATTTTTTCAAGGCTTGGATTTTTACAAAAATATTTTTAAAGGTTGAAATTAAAAAAAAATATATATTTTTTTAAAAAATATTTTTTTCAAGGCGTGGATTTTTTAAAAAATATTTTTTCAATGCGTGGATTTTTTAAAAAATATTTTTTTAAAGGCGTGGATTTTTTAAAAAATATATTTTAAAGCGTGGATTTTTTTAAAAAAAAAATTTCATGTCATGGATTTTTTTAAAAAATATTTTTTCAAGGCTTGGATTTTTTAAAAAATATTTTTTTAAAGCCTTGGATTTTTTAAAAAATATTTTTTTAAAGCCGAATTTTTCAAGGAGTGGATTTCTTAAAAAATATTTTTTCAAGGCATGGATTTTTTAAAAAAATATTTTTTCAAGTCGTCAATTTTTTAAAAAATATTTTTTCAAGGCGTCAATTTTTTAAAAAATATTTTTTCAAAAAGTCAATTTTTTAAAAAATATTTTTTTCAAATTTTTTAAAAAATATTTTTTTTATATTTTTGTAAAAAATATTTTTTAAAAAATCCAATTTTTTAAAAAGTATTTTTGGAAGAATCCAATTTTTTAAAAAAACATTTTTGGAAGAATCCAATTTTTTAAAAAATATTTTTTGAAGAAAAAAATGTAAAAAAAATGTTTTTTGAAGAATCCAATTTTTTAAAAAAAAATATTTTTTGAAGAATCCAATTTTTTAAAAAATAATTTTTTGAAGAATCAAATTTTTTTAAATATTTTTTGAAGAATTCAATTTTTCAAAAAAAAAAATTGGAAGAATCCAATCCAATTTAAAAAATTTATTGTTCGAACTCACATTTCTACCCTTTCCACCTTGACACCCCAAGGGTCGGTGGCCTCATCCAAAATGATGCCAATTGTTCGAGACATTGATTCCTTGGCCGTCAGCAGTTCCATTAAATTTTTGGTACCCACAATATTACGCAGGGTGGTTTGGGCCAACAACCTTGTCGATTCGTGAACATTGCGGATTTGTATAACCGAATCCAAGGGATTGCGAATACTATAATATACGACAGCATCAACTTGTATGGTCACCGAATCTCGGGTCAAAACTTCCTGAGGCGGAACATCAAAAGACTGGGTACGTAAATCCACTTTGATGTAATCATCTACACAGGGCAATAGGAAGACCAAACCGGGGCCACGTATGCCACCATGTCTGTAAAGATTTTCAATTTAATTTTTAAAATTTTCCGACCACTTCGGGGAGGGGATACCTCAATCTTCCCAACCGAAAGACGACAATTCTTTGATAATGGGCCACCGTCACCAAACAACACCATATCGATAGGGGAAAGGTTAGAAAGAGCAATATGAGGGATAGGAACACAATGGACTTCTCGGAGGGGATGGGTGTGGTATCAGCTAGGGGGGAGGGGAAATGATTATTTTTCTTTTCAATTATGCTTGTTAGCTTCAAACTTACATGACCTTATGTGCGGCTTGGGAATATTGGGCAGAACTTCACAATTCATTTTTTTAAACCGATAATTTCTAATGCAGACAATTTTCAACGAATTTTCCAATTATAAAACTAATTTAAAAAATATTGAAATTTATGAATTCAAAATCTTTACAACACTTATTTATTATTAGGTGTGTTTTCATAACAATTGGAATACTTTTTAAAATCTTGCGAATTTTTGGTAGTTCGAAAAAAATTTTTAAAAAAATCTACGCCTTGTGAAAACTTCAAAAAATATTTAAAAAAAAAAAATCTCCACCTAACTTATCTACTTACTTAGCTGGCTTGTGATAGAACTTTCGTTTCATAAGCCGAGCTTAAAAAAGATTTCCATATTCGACAATGTTGTCTTCCAGTTGATCTTTCCATCTTATTCGTGGCCTTCCCCTTCTCCGTGAACCATCAGTTGGATCGCTTTTATATGCCTTCTGGGCTGGGGCATCTTCATCCATTCTCACAACATGACCTAACCAACGTAGTCGCTGCAGCTCAATACGTCTAACAATATCGATGTCCGAAAATAGCTGAGTTGATGAGTTGTATCATGGTTCAATCGACGGCGATATTCACCGTCAACGCAAATCGGCCCATAGATCTTTCGGAGAATTTTTCTCTCAAACACTCCAAGAGCTGCCTCATCTGCTTGCGTAAGTACCCATGCTTCAGATCCATACAACACAGCACAGGTAGTATCAGCGTCTTGTAGAGTGTGAGTTTAGTCTGGCGGGAGGTGGCCTTGCTTTTGAATTGTTTGCTCAGACCATAGTAGCATCGGTTGGCCATCACTATCCTTCTCCGAATTTCAAAACTGATGTCATTCGTTTTATTTGTGGCGTTACCATGGTATATAAAATCTTTGACTACCTTGAAGCTGTAGTTCTCCAGTTCCACAGTTGGTCCGAGTCTACTGGACGTCTTGCGCGTTGATACCATCAGCTTGGTCTTCTCGCCGTTTACTGTCAGACCCACTTTGGCAGACTCCTTTTCAATTTGTTCAAAGATGGCTGTTACCGCTCTCAATGTTCGCCGCATTATGTCGATGTCATCGACGTAGGCAAGTAACATATGTTGTTTGGTGTACAGAGTGCCATTTCTGTTCACTTTTGCCTCTCGTATGACCTTTTCCAGCAGGATGTTAAAAAGGTCACACGACAAACTGTCACCTTGTCTGAATCCTCGCTCGGTATTGATGGGATAGGTCCTATCAGACTTTAACTGCTGATCTTGTACCAGTTAAAGTTATCCTGCATAGCCGTATTAATTTTGCAGGAATGCCGAACGGAGACATGGCTTTAAACACCTCTGAACGGATAAGGCTATCGAATGCGGCTTTATAGTCGAAGAATAGGTGGAATGTGTCGATGTGTTTTTCGTGGGTATTTTCCAGGATTTGGCGCAGAGTGAAAATCTCTTCAATGGCGGATTTGCCAGGTCTGAAGCCGCATTGATATGGTCCAATAATGTCATTGATCATTGGCTTCAGTCGTCCACACGCCGCACGCTGGATAGCACTTTATATGCTATGGGAAGGAGACTTATTCTTCTATAGTTGGCACATATCATCTTGTCTCCTTTTTTTGTGCACGGGACACAGGATGCTGAGGTTGCAATCATTGGGCATGTATTCTTCTATCGAAATAGTACTAATCAGCTGGTACATGCTCCTTGCCAGCATCTGACCACCAGACTTGAATAGTTCGGCTGATAACCCATTGACACATGTTGTTTTATTATTCTTCAGCCGATTGATTGCTATTCTGACCTCATCTTGCCTAAGTGTGGTATACACGCGATACCGTCATCTCTTATTGGTTCCGGGGTATCCTCTTCACCGCCACTATTTGATACCAGAAGTTTTTCAAAATGCTCCTTCCAGATCCTCAGCACGCTGTCTTTATCTGTCACCAGGTGTCTGCACCAAAGCCTTCGGTTTGTTGTTTTACCCGTTGGTAGAATTTTCGGACTTCATTCTAAGTCCTGTACATCTCGATTTGCTCACGTTTTTTCTGTTCTTTCTTCTTTTTTCCGGAAAATACGTTTCTCCTCTCTCCTTTTCTACCGATAATTCTCCATCGAATTACGTGTTGCTAATGTCCGCAGGGTTGCCCTATACGCTGCGTTTTTTCATATCAGTAACATTACGACACTCCTGATCGTACCACAGATTTCTTGCTAGTGGTCTTTGGTACCCAAGTGTTGCTTTTGCTGCAGTTTGTAGGGAGTGGGCAATTCTCTGCTACTAATTATCGGGACAAGGGGTGCTTTCGTCAAGCCACATATCTGGCTACTTAAAAAAAACTATTTTTTGAAAAATCCAAACTTTTTTTCCTGTCATTATTTTAAATAAAACACATTTATTATTTTTTTAATTTAAATTATTTAGGTGGTTTGTGTGTATCGATTGATTATTATATATTTTTATTTTATATAATAAATATTTGTTCAAACATGTTCTTGTTTTTGTTGTGGTCTAGTATTTTTTTAATGCATTTCATGTCAATTCGTTTTTTTACACCAATATCGGGAGAGAGAGGAAAAAAGGTACACATATATTAAATGAAATTAGAAAAAATTACCGAGTTTTCAAAAAAATTCCTTTGAGTGAAATCTTTACTTATGTATAGAGAATGAATATCGAATTACATATATTTATTTTTGAGAGTTGTCTGTGTTGGGTTTTTTATTTGCAGTTCCTGCAGGTTTCTTAACATTGGGGTTAGCCTTTGCGGGTGTTGCTTTGCCTGCAGCAGCTGGTTTAGCTGGTGTGGCTGCTGGTTTGCCAGCGGCGGGTTTAGCTGGGGTACCAGCGGCGGGTTTAGCTGGTGTGCCAGTAGCGGGTTTGGCTGCTGTGCCAGTAGCGGGTTTAGCTGGTGTACCAGCGGCTGGTTTGTTGACCTTGGCTGGTGTGGCCCCACCTGCCGTCTTTGTTGCGACATTTTTGGCTGGTGTTGCCTTGGCGGCCGTTGTGGCCTTGTTAGCAGTTGTCGCACCTGCTGCTGGTTTGCTCCCGGCTGCTGCTGGCTTAGCACCATTTGTTTGTGCAGGTTTTGTTGTGGCTGCTGCCTTGGTTGTTACACTACTAGCCTCCTTTTTCTCTTCCTCAGATTTCTTGGGAGTTTCAGCAGCTACCTTTACGGCAGTTTCCTCAGTTTTCTTAGTTTCCGGTTTGGTTTCTTTTTTGTTGGAGTTTCAGCAGCTGGTGTAGCCTGCTCTTTATTTTCCTTCTTCTCTTCACTTGGTTTTTCTGTGGCCTCCTTCTTTTCCTCTTCTTTTTTAATGGCTGCTGTTGCTTCCTTTGTTTCTTCACTGGTACAGGTTTCAGTCTCCATGGCTTCGACTTTTTCCACCTTCACTGGTTTTTCTTTCTCTTTTTCCTTATCACTTTCCTTCGATTTTTCTTTATCTTTTTCCGATTTGATCACATTGGAAGATTTTTCCTTGTCATGATGATCTCTATCCTTGGATTTATCTTTTTCAGATTCTTTGGATTTTTCCTTGGAATGATCCTTGTCTGAGTGTTTATCGCCCCGGTGTTTATCCTTTTCCGAATCTTTGTCATCCTTGTGGGAACTACGAAAAAAAGAAAAACAAAATGAAATAAAAACCTTTTCTCCAAAGCAAAAAAAAATCCCACCATTACCTTTCATTTTTGGAATCCTTGTCCTTATCCTTGGAGAAATAGGGTTCCACCCGGGTATAGATATACAACAGTGTTGAGTTTTGATCACGATATTTACGCTGTAAGGAAATAAAAAAAAACAAATTAAACCAAATGTTTTAAACTGAAAATCCTTTCCAACTAACAGTCAAGGTGTAGAGTTCCTGATTGGTATCGGTCAGCTTCCTTCTCAAACTCTTTGTGTCATCGGAAAGATCTTTGATTTTGGACTTGGCCTTGCTCTGTTCCTTTTGCAAATCGCTGTGCTCCTTAACCAGATCATTGTACAGCTTTTCCATATCGGATAACTCTTTTTCGGTACGTTTAATTTGTTCCATTAATTTGCCCACGTGAATGACGGCACCATTGTAATGAACCAAATCGGCTGGAAGAAGAAGAGAAGAAAAAAAAGCAAAAGTTAGGTTAGGTCTCCAACTTGGTGATAATTAAAAAAAATATTTTTAAAAAATCCCTCCAAAAAAAATTTTTATTAAAAAAATTTTATTAGAAAAATCATTTAGGGGAGAGGGGGGCACCTTTGAACACTTTTTTCTTTCAAGCCTCATAAAATTTTTTATGTTATAATTTTTGGTTTCTTATAAGTTTTAACTAATAGGTACATATGTAACCTTTAAAATGAATATACATACGACATACTTTAAGCTTGTTAAATATATTTTATTACTGTTTTATTGGACGAAGTCAAAGTGTTCAAAGCTGCCCCCCCAGGGGGGCACGTTTGAACAAAGCTTGGTATTTTTGAACGACATGGTTTTTACAGTGATTATGTTCAAATATATATGTATTGTATTCATATATATCAGAAATGCATTTATTTATTAAAAAATATATACAAAAATATTCGAACATTAAAAAATTCTGATCAAAATTTATTAAAACCTAAAATGACATAAAAACAAAAATTTATATGGTGAAAAATACAGCTAATTCCGTAATCTTATTACCCCATTTGAAATTTTTGAGAAATCGAAGCCAAAAGTTAAAAACTCCGTTTTTACTGGCGTTTACTGGGTATGTTCAAAGGTGCCCCACCTGTGGTATTTTACGGAAATTTATAATAACTTTTTTTGTAGTAAATATATATGAAAGAAAATACATTAGATATGTTTGAAATGATTGTTGGAATGCAAAAAAATTTTTTGACGAAAGAAAACTATCGCAGAATTCTTCCTGCGCCCTTTCAAACAAAAGAATAAAAGTTTACAATGACACTGCGAAAACATGGTCACCCATGCTCAATTTGCCGACAACTTTAAAAGCAAGCCAAAGTGGTTTACGCAGATAGAGAACAAGATTGCCATATACAAAAATGTGGTTGCGGGTCGGAAAATTTTTAAACCAAGATTTTATTAGCGCTGTTCAAAGGTGCCCCACGTTCAAAGGTGCCCCCCTCTCCCCTACTAAAAAAAATTTTGCTAAAAAAAATTTTTACTAAAAAAATTTACTAAAAAAAATTTACTAAAAAAAAATTAATAAAACAATTTTACTAAAAAAATTACTAAAAAAATTTTAGTAAAAAAAAATCTACTAAAAAAATTTTTACAAAAAAATTTTTACTAAAAAAAAAATTACTAAAAAAATGGTTAACTCAAAAAATTTTTACTAAAATAAAATGTTACTAAAAAAATATTTTACTAAAAAAAATTACTATCAAAAATTTTTACTAAAAATTTTTTACTAAAAAAATTTTTTACTAATAAAAATATTTTTTTTTAAAAATCCCCACCTTGCGTTGACCTCAAAATATTTTTTTTTTAAATCTACGCCTTGTGGAAACATAAAACCAGTAAGGTAAATAGTAAAGTCGGACGGGGCCTATTATATAATACCCCCTTCACCACTTTGGGTATATTCAACAGATGAATCCTAACAGACGTCGCATTTTTAAAGGACCAGTAAAATGAAATTGGATCCATAAACATTTCATTCTGCAACCGATACTAAATTTTTCATTTGTCAGATATAGAAGCTATATCTAAATCTGAACCGATTTTCAGGAAACTTAACACGCATCATTCTAGACCTATTTCATTACGATGTGACAAATTTCGTGTAAATCGAAAGATATTAAGGGACTTTGGTGGACCATTTACATTAAATCGGACGAAAATATATATGGGAGCTATATCTAAATCTAAACCGATTTTCAGGAAACTTAACACACATCATTCTATACCTAATTCATTACGCTGCGGCAAATTTCGTGCAAATCGAAATATATATAGGGACTTTGATGGACCATTTACATTAAATCGAAAGAAAATATATATGGGAGCTATATCTAAATCTAAACCGATTTTCAGGAAACTTAACACACATCACTCTAGGCCTAATTCATTACACTGTGCCAAATTTCGTGCTAATCGAAAGATATTAAGGGACTTTGATGGAGCATTTACATTAAATCGGACGAAAATATATATGGGAGCTATATCTAAATCTGAATCGATTTTCAGGAAACTTAACACACATCATTCTAGACCTAATTCATTACGCTGTGCCAAATTTCCTGCAAATCGAAAGACATATAGGGACTTTGGTGCACCATTTACATTAAATCGGACGAAAATATATATGGGAGCTATATCTAAATCTAAACCGATTTTCAGGAAACTTAACACACATCATTCTAGACCTAATTCATTACGCTGTGCCAAATTTCGTGCAAATCGAAAGACATATAGGGACTTTGGTGCACCATTTACATTAAATCGGACGAAAATATATATGGGAGCCATATCTAAATCTGAACTGATTTTTCCCAATTTCAATAGGGCTCGTCCTTGGGCCAAATAAGTGACCTATGCCAAATTTCATCCAAATCGGATCATAAATGCGACCTGTTCACAAAAATACATGGACGGACGGACGGACAGACAGACGAACATGCGTAAATCGACTCAGAAAGTGATTCCATGCATATTCTCAAAAGGAAACATGTGTCTATTTCGTTTCCTTTTGCCTGTTACAAACATATGCACAAAGACATAATACCATGTGCCATTTTTTTAAAAAATCCTTGAAAAAATATTTTTTTTAAAAAATCCTTGAAAAAATATTTTTTTAAAAATCCTTGAAAACAATTTTTTTTTAATCCTTGAATTTTTTTTTTAAATCCACGCCTTGTGTAAACCTTAAAAAATATTTCCTAAAAAATCCACGCCTTGCGGATTCCCCAAAAAATATTTTTTTAAAAATCCCCACCTATCTGGCTACTTCAAAAAATAATTTTTAAAAAATCCAATCTGTCCTAATTCTTTGTACTCACATTCATTTCCATCACCCTCAATTGGTATGGCATAATTGCTGTGCTGCGTCTCGCCAAAGACAAATTCATATTTATTATTGCCAGCCGCAATATCTCTGAGCTCTTCCAAATCCAAATCATCGGCATCTTCAATTTTGGCCAAGGCATCGGCCGATTCCTTTTTGTCGGTAAGTTTACTAGAAATTCGAAAAAAATGAAATTAAAATAAAAAAATTCTCATCTCTCCTCCGCCACCAACTCACCGATAATGAACCAAAGACCGGGTGCCAATTTTCGACAAAACCTTTTTAATTTGTGAACGCGACAGATTCAAACCCAACACCATAAACAAATCTTCCAAATCGCGTTCGAAAATATAACCACAATGGGTGGAATCAAAATAGAGGAATGATAAGAGTAACAGTGGTTTGGCGACCACAACTTTTTTATTGCTATCAGTCGATTTGGAATCGTCCGCATCACGACCATCCACGGTACTGCCATGACGTTTCTTGTGTTGGTCATCGGTAGCAGCCGAAGCGATGGCCAATTCCCTACCATCAATTGTACTCATACGACGTTTTGGTGGTGGCTTCTCTGATGCCTTCTCCGAATCTTGTGGATCCTTGGTGCTTGTGCGTCGTTTACGTGATGATGATGCCGATTTGCCATCATCCGATGATTTCTCACCACCACCATTATTATCGTTGTTTGAATTGGTGGTTTTTGTACCTTCACTATTTTCCTCACCATCGGCGGATTTTGACTCATCTCCTCCTGCTGCAGCAGCAGTTCCAGCCTCATTATTATCTTCCGCAGCAGAGTGATCCTTGCTATTGTAAATGTGTATCTCCTTGTAAATGTTAAAGGCAAAGTCACGCATTAACATCTCGTTGAAGAGTTCCGCAAATAGGGATAACTGGATGGGGAAATTGGAGGAAAAAATTTAAGGAATTTGAAATGCTGTTATAAAATTCCAAAATCTCACCTCAAAGATCCTCTCTTTGGTATCGGCATGATGATAATCCATTAAGACCTGCAGTGACATTAGGGCACAATCGAAACTACCACCCTTGGCCAATTTATTGGGATGTACCACAATTTGTGGGGTAGAGGGCAAGGTGTAGCGACGTAGCAGTTTTGCCTTTTCCCGGCGAGACATGGCCTTATCCTGAAATGAAAATAGAGGTGGAAAATATAGTTTCAGAGGCGTGGATTTTTTAAAAATTTATTTTTGGGTAATTTCAGAGGCGTGGATTTTTTAAAAAAAATTTCTTGGGTAATTTCAGAGGCGTGGATTTTTTAAAAATTATTTTTTGGGTAATTTCAGAGGCGTGGATTTTTTAAAAATTATTTTTTGGGTAATTTCAGAGGCCTGGATTTTTTAAAAATTATTTTTTGGGTAATTTCAGAGGCGTGGATTTTTTAAAAATTATTTTTTGGGAAATTCCAGAGGCGTGGATTTTTTAAAAATTATTTTTTGGGTAATTCCAGAGGCGTGGATTTTTTAAAAATTATTTTTTGGGTAATTTCAGAGGCGTGGATTTTTTAAAAATTATTTTTTGGGTAATTCCAGAGGCGTGGATTTTTTAAAAATTATTTTTTGGGTAATTTCAGGGGCGTGGAGTTTTTAAAAATTATTTTTTGGGTAATTTCAGAGGCGTGGATTTTTTAAAAATTGTTTTTTGGGTAATTTCAGAGGCTTGGATTTTTTAAAAATTATTTTTTCGGTAATTCCAGAGGCGTGGATTTAAAAAAAAATCTTTGGGTAATCTTAGAGGCGTGGATTATTTTTTGGGTAATTCCAGAGACGTGGATTTTTTAAAAATTATTTTTTGGGTAATTTCAGAGGCGTGGATTTTTTAAAAATTATTTTTTGGGTAATTTGGAGTTTTTAAAAATTATTTTTTGGGTAATTTCAGAGGCGTGGATTTTTTAAAAATTATTTTTTGGGTAATTTCAGAGGCGTGGATTTTTTAAAAATTGTTTTTTGAGTAATTTCAGAGGCTTGGATTTTTTAAAAATTATTTTTTCGGTAATTCCAGAGGCGTGGATTTAAAAAAAAAATCTTTGGGTAATCTCAGAGGCGTGGATTTTTTACAAATTATTTTTTTGGGTAATATCAGAGGCGTGGATTTTTTAAAAATTATTTTTTGGGTAATCTCAGAGGTGTGGAGTTTTTAAAAATAATTTTTTGGGTAATCTCAGAAGCTTGAATTTTGTTAAAGATTATTTTTTGGGTAATCTCAGAGGCGTGCATTTTTTAAAGATTATTTTTTGGGTAATCTCAGATGTGTGGATTTTTTAAAGATTATTTCTTGGGTAATCTCAGAGGCGTGGATTTTTTAAAAATTATTTTTTGGGTAATTCCAGAGACGTGGATTTTTTAAAAATTATTTTTTGGGTAATTTCAGAGGCGTGGATTTTTTAAAAATTATTTTTTGGGTAATTTCAGAGGCGTGGATTTTTTAAAAATTATTTTTTGAGTAATTTCACAGGCGTGGATTTTTTAAAAATTATTTTTTGAGTAATTTCAGAGGCGTGGATTTTTTAAAAATTATTTTTTGGGTAATTTCAGAGGCGTGGATTTTTTAAAAATTATTTTTTGGGTAATCTCAGAGGCGTGGATTTTTTAAAAATTATTTTTTGGGTAATCTCATAGGCGTGGATTTTTTAAAAATTATTTTTTGGGTAATTTCAGAGGCGTGGATTTTTTAAAGATTATTTCTTGGGTAATCTCAGAGGCGTGGATTTAAAAAAAAAAAATCTTTGGGTAATCTCAGAGGCGTGGATTTTTTACAAATTATTTTTTTGGGTAATATCAGAGGCGTGGATTTTTTAAAAATAATTTTTTGGGTAATCTCAGAAGCGTGAATTTTTTTAAAGATTATTTTTTGGGTAATCTCAGATGTGTGGATTTTTTAAAAATAATTTTTTGGGTAATTTCAGAGGCGTGCATTTTTTAAAGATTATTTTTTGGGTAATCTCAGATGTGTGGATTTTTTAAAAATAATTTTTTGGGTAATCTCAGAAGCGTGAATTTTTTTAAAGATTATTTTTTGGGTAATCTCAGAAGCGTGAATTTTTTTAAAGATTATTTTTTGGGTAATCTCAGAGGCGTGCATTTTTTAAAGATTATTTTTTCGGTAATCTCAGATGTGTGGATTTTTTAAAGATTATTTTTTCGGTAATCTCAAAGGCGTGGATTTTTTAAAAATTATTTTTTGGGTAATTTCAGAGGCGTGGATTTTTTAAAATTTTTTTTGTTTGGGTAATTTCAGAGGCGTGGATTTTTTAAAAATTATTTTTTGGGTAATTCCAGAGGCGTGGATTTTTTAAAAATTATTTTTTGGGTAATTTCAGAGGCGTGGATTTTATAAAAATGAAAATATCAAAAAATAATTTAAAAACAAATCCCCGCCTTGTGGATTTTTAGGGACCCCAGGGTCCTATCTTCCTCACCTCATTATTTTTATTGGCATCATATTCATCCAATATGACAATATCGCTCATTTCAAAATCAATGGCATCGGCCCAATCCTTGGTGCTATCATCCAATTTGGCATTCGCATCCTCGTCAGCAGCAGCTTCGGCGGCAGTATCGTTTGCCGCCTTTTTATTTGAGCCGCCCATTTTTTGTTGATGTTTTTCACGATTCTTGGCTTTGATTTCTTCGCGCTTTTCCGTATTTAAGGCCTTGGCCAGACGGGCCATGACCACATTGCGAACGCCTGAAGAAAAATAAAAAAAGAATTAATAATAAATTATGAAAAGAGATGGACAGTATTTTTGAAGCCTTCTTACCCTTATCCGACAAATCTCTGGCCAATAGTTCATCACGTATCTCTTGAACCTTCATGTTTTTCAAATCCAATAGCGAGTAGTGGGTTGGTTCTGGGGTGGGTTCCTCCTGTAAAATATACGCAGCACATGGATAAGATATTAAAATAAAAAAAAAACCCAAAATCAAGTGAGTTTGGAATTTCATAACAAAAACAACAACAACATGAAGAGTTTTGTTGTTGAATTCTCTTCTTCTTCTAAACAATAATTTAAAAAACGACAACGTTTCAAACCATCTATTAGAACTATAAAAATAATAATAATAAAAAAAGAAAAACGAAATTGGTTTGAAATTTCAAAACTGCCGTTGATTTTTTTTAGTTTTAATTTAAAAAAAAATAAAAAAAAAAATTTTTGGAAAACTCTTTTCGCTATATTTTTTCTAGAAATTAAAAAAAATTTAAAAAAAAATTCTCAAAAAAAAATATTTTTTTACAAAAAAAAATAAAAAAAATTAAATTTTTTTTCGAAAAACAATTTTCACTATATTTATTCTAGAAATTAAAAAAGTTTAATTTTATCCTAGAATGACATTTTTTCAAAATTAAAAAAAAGTAGAATCATGTTTCTATTTCAATTTTTTTTTTTTAATTTTTTCTAGAAATTAAAAAAACTTAATTTTATAAATTTCTAGAAATAATTCTTTTTTCAAAATTAAAAAAAAAATTAAATTGTAATTTTTTTAATTTCTAGAAAAAATATAGTGTTTTTCGAAAAAAAAAATTTTGATTTTTTTTTAAATCAAAAAAAAAAATTGGAAAACTCTTTCATTATATTTTTTCTAGGAATTTAAAAAAAATCAATTTTATTAAATTCTAGAAAATTTTTTTTCAAAAAAAAAAACTTTTAAAATTTATTTTTTTTTAATTTCTAGAAAAAATATAGGGAAAAGTGTTTTTCGAAAAAAATATTTTTTTTTTGATTTTTTTTTTTTTGAAAAAAAAATTAATTTTTTTTTTTTAATTTCTAGAAAAAAAATAGATTTGAAAAGTTTTAGCTTTTAAAGGCTAAAAAAGTATATTTTTTTTAAGAAAACTATCATCATTTTTTGGGATAGTGAGCGGGGTAGAGTCAGAAAATTTGTTTAAACGGTGGCAGATCGAAGTTTTAGGGAAAATTAAATTTCTAAAAAATATATTTTTTTTAAATTGAAAACGAACGTTGATTGCTCTTTTTAAAAACTGAACTAAAAGTTCTTCCCTAGGTCTACTATTTACGTTGAGTGGGGAGACTTGTGAAAAGTTTTCATTTTTTAAATCAAGGGTCGGGTGTGGGTTCGCTGTTGAAAAAAATGAAAGTAAAAAAAGAAATGGCAACAAAAATTTAGGCTAAGTGTTTTGAATTGAGAGACTGATTTTTTTTTTTGTTTTTCGTTTAACTACATCATCACCATATCATCTTGGTTAAGTTACATTTTCGTCAGCCGCCTCAGCATCGGGGACATGGTCCTCTTGGTGGCCCATGTCGTCGTCATCATCACCATCATTATCCTGGTGAGTAGTTGACTCATCTGGTTCACCATCCGCGGCATCAACACCTGAATTATCCATTTGTTCATCCTGATCCGCATCGGCATTTTCCCCCTCAGCCTCCTGTTCCTCCCCCTCAACCACAGCATTATTTTCGCCATCATCACCATCACCTTCGTCGTCCCCTTGCATATTTTCTTCTTCACCCGGCTGGGCATTTTCTTCGTCTCCGTCAGCATTGTTGTCATCCGTGGGTTTGGTTGCAGCCCCCTCATTGTCGGCATTCGTGGAGCCGGCCTTGGCAGCGATAGCCTTTGTTGTGGCAGCAGCCCGACGAGAAATGATTTTTTCAGCCGTGGCCTTGTAGAGGCCCACCATCGTATTGTATTCGGCAATGGAGGGCATACAGGAGTGTATGTCCGGCAAGAATATGACCACAGTTTCAACACGAGGCGGTCCACCTTTTTCCATGTTTTTATACTCGGAACGATGATAGTAGAGTTCCATAAAACGATACCTAAGCGAGCCCAAAGAGATTTTTCGAAGACCAGCGGTTTTTTTTTTATTTTGCAGATGAAGATATAGACCAAAAGGACAACGTTGAAGAAACAGCAGCAGGCAGGTACAGTAACCAAAAGTTCGGCACCAGTCGAATTTTTTTTCGATTTATCAACGAGGATGGAACAAACAAAAACGCCAAGGTTCAGCAAAGTCGGTCGGTCCATAAACATATAAAGCAGCAGACCAGGCCAGCCAGACAGATGACATCGAAGAACAGATATTTTTGCGCAGATCAAGCAGCAGTCCAGGCCAGCCAGTAGATGACATCGAAGATCAGATGTTTTTAAAGCAGATCAAGCAGCAGTCCAGGCCAGACCAGCCAGCAGATGTCATCGAAGAACAATTTTTTTTGAGCAGATCAAGCAGCAGTCCAGGCCAGGCCAGCCAGCCAGAAGATGACATCCAAGAACAGATTTTTTTAGCAAAAACGGCAGGCATGTCATGATGTTGTTGTTGATCCAAAAAGTCCAGAGGCCAAGGTCGGTCATCATCGTCATCACACACACCCAGATACAACGACGCAGTCAGGTTTTTTTGGCAAGGAAGAAGAATTCGTCGATCGTTTCGATTTGATATTGATTTTTCGATATTTTAGATATTTAGGTTTTTATAGAGAGATTTTTTTGTTTTGTTTTGATTTTTTGGTACAAATTTGTCGCGTAAACAAACATGGAAAAAGAAAGAAAAAAATCATAAGGAATGTGGCACAAAACTCTAGTCAAAAAAATCTAAAAAAATGTTTTTTTAAGATTTTTTGTTTTTGTTTTTTATATAGGAAATATATTTCAATAAATTAAATAAAGTCTTTTTTTGTTGGTACACACAAGTGCTTAGCTGGAAAAAGAAGTGAATATTTTTTTTTATTATTTAGAACTAAAAAAATAAAAAATTAAAAAAAAACGAACTAATAAAAAATGACTATCATCACTAAACTCCAATATAAAGTTTTATTCAAGTGTTTTTATTCAGAATTTTTCGTGGCAAATCTTTTCTTTTTCTCCTATTAAATTCGAGAAAATATGTGAACCTAACCTTAAAAAAATCGAAAATATGTAACTAACCTAAAAAAATTAAATAAAATAAAAAATAATATTAAAAATACTGTTGGGTAATGGAAACTAACTAAAAAATCCGTTTTAAATGTATATTTTTGTATTTATACCCTTCACCACACTGTGGTACAGGGTATTATGTCTTTGTGCATATGTTTGGAACAGGCAAAAGGAAACGAGATAGACACATGGTTCCTTTTGAGAATATGCATAGAATCACTTTCTGAGTCGATTTATGCATGTCCGTCCATCCGTCCGTCCGTCCGTCTGTCCATGTTAAATTGTAAACAAAGTACAGGTCGCATTTATGATCCGAATTGGATGAAATTTGGCATAGGTCACTTATTCGGCCCAAGGACGAACCCTATTGAAATTGGGAAAAATCGGTTCAGATTTAGATATAGCTCCCATATATATATTTAACCGATTTAATGTAAACAGTCCCTATATATCTTTCGATTTGCACGAAATTTGGTACAGCCTAATCATTTAGGTCTAGAATGATGTCTGCCAAGTTTCGTGAAAATCGGTCCAGATTTAGATATAGCTCCCATATATAGTTTCGTCCGATTTCATGTAAATGGTGCCCCAAAGTCCCTATATATCTTTTGATTTGCACGAAATTTGGTATAACGTGCTGAATTAAGCCTAGAGTGATGTATGCCAAGTTTCGTGAAAATCGGTCCAGATTTAGATATAGCTCCCATATATAGTTTCGTCCGATTTCATGTAAATGGTGCCCCAAAGTCCCTATATATCTTTCGATTTGCACGAAATTTGGTACAGCCTAATCATTTAGGTCTAGAATGATGTCTGCCAAGTTTCGTGAAAATCGGTCCAGATTTAGATATAGCTCCCATATATAGTTTCGTCCGATTTCATGTAAATGGTGCCCCAAAGTCCCTATATATCTTTTGATTTGCACGAAATTTGGTATAACGTGCTGAATTAAGCCTTGAGTGATGTATGCCAAGTTTGGAGAAAATCGGTCCAGATTTAGATATAGCTCCCATATATAGTTTCGTCCGATTTCATGTAAATGGTGCCCCAAAGTCCCTATATATCTTTCGATTTGCACGAAATTTGGTACAGCCTAATCATTTAGGTCTAGAATGATGTCTGCCAAGTTTCGTGAAAATCGGTCCAGATTTAGATATAGCTCCCATATATAGTTTCGTCCGATTTCATGTAAATAGTGCCCAAAGTCCCTATATATCTTCTGATTTGCACGAAATTTGGCATAACGTACTGAATTAAGCCTAGAGGGATGTCTGCCAAGTTTGGAGAAAATCGGTCCAGATTTAGATATAGCTCCCATATATAGTTTCGTCCGATTTGATGTAAATGGTCCACCAAAGTCGCTAAATATCTTCCGATTTGCACGAATTTTGGCATAACGTACTGAATTGAGTCTAGAATGATGTCTGCCAAGTTTCGTGAAAATAGGTCCTGATTTAGATATAGCTCCCATATATAGTTTCGTCCGATTTCATGTAAATGGTGCACCAAAGTCCCTATATATCCTTCGATTTGCACGAAATTTGGCATAACGTACTTAATTGAGCCTAGAATGATGTCTGCCAAGTTTCGTGAAAATCGGTCCAGATTTAGATATAGCTCCCTTTTATTATAGATTGATTTTAAGTAATTGACGTACTAAGGAACCAATTGGAATAAAACGTTCTGAAAGTTGTATAACCTAATCTGTGACAAGTTTGTTTGAAATCGCTCAATATTTGGATAGAGCTTCCATATATATTTTCGCCCGATTTCAAGTAAATTGGGCATCAAACTCCTCATGTTAGTCAGATTGACATCAAATTTTGCACAACTTAAAAAATTGAGCATAGAATTACGTAGTTGCGTTTTCTAGAAGTGCAGACATAGCCCAACGGATGACCTATTTATATTTGTTTGAAGTCGATTGACATACTTTATGGATAGATCTAGGTAGATTCACATTTAGATAAATATCACATTTTTTTCATCCAATTTTATGTTATAGTCCTGCTTAATATACCCATAGTGGTGAAGGGTATCATATAGTCGGCCCCGTCCGACTTTACTACTTTCCTTACTGGTTTTTGTATGTATTTTTAATAAAAAAATAATAATGAAAAAAATCACAACCTAACCTCAAAAAAAATTTTAGGTTATATGCTTTGAAAAACTTTTTGAGAAAGGCTTATGATTTCCAAAATAAAATTCTATAAAATTAGAGTCAATTCGATTGGAAAACGTCCCTTAAAAATCTCCAAAAATCGAATATTAGGTGGTTCCGTTAAATGGGGACTAACCTTAAAAATGGACCAATATTGATAATTTGTTGAAGGACGATTTGCTAACCAATGAGGACCTAAAATACCAAATTACACACATTTAGCTTGAAAAATAGTGGGAAAAATCGCCAAAAATCGAATATTTCAGTGTTCCGTTATATGGGTACTAATCATAAAAATGGACCAATATTGATAATTTGTTGAAGGACGATTTGCTAGCCATTGAGGACCTAAAATACCAAATTACAGACATTTCGCTTGAAAAATGTTGGGGAAAATCACCAAAAATCGAATATTTAAGGTTCCGTTATATGGAGATTACCCTTAAAAATGGACCAATATTCATAATTTTTGGTAGGAAGATTTACTATCCAACGAGAACCTAATATACCAAATTACAAGCATTTCGGACGAAAAAGATCCAAAAATCCGCAAAAATTGGAAAATATGGGGGTTGCGTTATATTAAAAATTAAATCAATATTGATCATTCTTTGTGGGGTGAATTCCTACCCAGCAAGAATCTCGAATAACAAATTTCAACCATTTCGGTTGAAAAATTTTGCGGAAATCACCAAAAATCGAATTCTTAGGAGTTCCGTCAAACGGGGACTACCCTTAAAAGTTGACCAATTTTGATCATTTGTGGTAGGAAGATTTGCTAACCAATGACGACCTAAAATACCAAATTAGAACCATTTCGGTTGAAAAAAGTGGCCAAAATCGGCAAAAATCGAATATATTCGGGTTTCCGTTATATGGAGGCTACCATTAAAAATGGACCAATATTCATAATTTTTGGTAGAAAGATTTGCTAAACAATGTGAACCTCAAATACCCAATTACAGCCAAAAAGGTTGAAAAACGCCCCCAAAATTCGCATAAATCGAAAAATACGAGGGTTACGTTATATGGGGAATACCCTTAAAAATATACCAATATTGAAAATTTTTGGTAGAGAGATTTTCTACCCAACAAGAATCTAAAATACCAAATTACTACCATATTTCTCTAGAATAAATTTTCCCAAAATCCTCAAAAATCGAATATTTGAGGGTTCCGTTATATGGGGACTACCCTAAAAAGTGCAACAATATTGATAATTTTTGGTAGAGGGATTCTCTACCCAACGATAATTTGAAATATTAAATTTCAGCAATTTCGGTTGAAAAACGTTCCTGAAAATTACCAAAAATCGAATATTTGAGGGTTCCGTTAAATGGGGACTACCCTTAAAAGTGGACCAATGTTTATCATTCTAGGTAGAAAGATTATCTACCCGATGAGAAGCTAAAATAGCAAATTTCAACCATTCCTGTTGAAATAGGCCGGACAAAATTCCCAAAAATCGAATATTTTGGGGTTCCGTTAAATGATAATCTAAAATATTAGTCATTTAGTTTGAAAAATATTGTCGAAACCAGCAACAAATCGAATATTTAGGGGATCCGTTATATGGGGACTACTCTAAAAATTAAACCAATATTGATAATTTTTAAACGAACGAATTAAACCAATATTGATAATTTTTAAACGAACTAATAAAAAATGACTATCATCACTAAACTCCAATATAAAGTTTTATTCAAGTGTTTTTATTCAGAATTTTTCGTGGCAAATCTTTTCTTTTTCTCCTATTAAATTCGAGAAAATATGTGAACCTAACCTTAAAAAAATCGAAAATATGTAACTAACCTAAAAAAATTAAATAAAATAAAAAATAATATTAAAAATACTGTTGGGTAATGGAAACTAACTAAAAAATCCGTTTTAAATGTATATTTTTGTATTTATACCCTTCACCACACTGTGGTACAGGGTATTATGTCTTTGTGCATATGTTTGGAACAGGCAAAAGGAAACGAGATAGACACATGGTTCCTTTTGAGAATATGCATAGAATCACTTTCTGAGTCGATTTATGCATGTCCGTCCATCCGTCCGTCCGTCCGTCTGTCCATGTTAAATTGTAAACAAAGTACAGGTCGCATTTATGATCCGAATTGGATGAAATTTGGCATAGGTCACTTATTCGGCCCAAGGACGAACCCTATTGAAATTGGGAAAAATCGGTTCAGATTTAGATATAGCTCCCATATATATATTTAACCGATTTAATGTAAACAGTCCCTATATATCTTTCGATTTGCACGAAATTTGGTACAGCCTAATCATTTAGGTCTAGAATGATGTCTGCCAAGTTTCGTGAAAATCGGTCCAGATTTAGATATAGCTCCCATATATAGTTTCGTCCGATTTCATGTAAATGGTGCCCCAAAGTCCCTATATATCTTTTGATTTGCACGAAATTTGGTATAACGTGCTGAATTAAGCCTAGAGTGATGTATGCCAAGTTTCGTGAAAATCGGTCCAGATTTAGATATAGCTCCCATATATAGTTTCGTCCGATTTCATGTAAATGGTGCCCCAAAGTCCCTATATATCTTTCGATTTGCACGAAATTTGGTACAGCCTAATCATTTAGGTCTAGAATGATGTCTGCCAAGTTTCGTGAAAATCGGTCCAGATTTAGATATAGCTCCCATATATAGTTTCGTCCGATTTCATGTAAATGGTGCCCCAAAGTCCCTATATATCTTTTGATTTGCACGAAATTTGGTATAACGTGCTGAATTAAGCCTTGAGTGATGTATGCCAAGTTTGGAGAAAATCGGTCCAGATTTAGATATAGCTCCCATATATAGTTTCGTCCGATTTCATGTAAATGGTGCCCCAAAGTCCCTATATATCTTTCGATTTGCACGAAATTTGGTACAGCCTAATCATTTAGGTCTAGAATGATGTCTGCCAAGTTTCGTGAAAATCGGTCCAGATTTAGATATAGCTCCTATATATAGTTTCGTCCGATTTCATGTAAATAGTGCCCAAAGTCCCTATATATCTTCTGATTTGCACGAAATTTGGCATAACGTACTGAATTAAGCCTAGAGGGATGTCTGCCAAGTTTGGAGAAAATCGGTCCAGATTTAGATATAGCTCCCATATATAGTTTCGTCCGATTTGATGTAAATGGTCCACCAAAGTCGCTAAATATCTTCCGATTTGCACGAATTTTGGCATAACGTACTGAATTGAGTCTAGAATGATGTCTGCCAAGTTTCGTGAAAATAGGTCCTGATTTAGATATAGCTCCCATATATAGTTTCGTCCGATTTCATGTAAATGGTGCACCAAAGTCCCTATATATCCTTCGATTTGCACGAAATTTGGCATAACGTACTTAATTGAGCCTAGAATGATGTCTGCCAAGTTTCGTGAAAATCGGTCCAGATTTAGATATAGCTCCCTTTTATTATAGATTGATTTTAAGTAATTGACGTACTAAGGAACCAATTGGAATAAAACGTTCTGAAAGTTGTATAACCTAATCTGTGACAAGTTTGTTTGAAATCGCTCAATATTTGGATAGAGCTTCCATATATATTTTCGCCCGATTTCAAGTAAATTGGGCATCAAACTCCTCATGTTAGTCAGATTGACATCAAATTTTGCACAACTTAAAAAATTGAGCATAGAATTACGTAGTTGCGTTTTCTAGAAGTGCAGACATAGCCCAACGGATGACCTATTTATATTTGTTTGAAGTCGATTGACATACTTTATGGATAGATCTAGGTAGATTCACATTTAGATAAATATCACATTTTTTTCATCCAATTTTATGTTATAGTCCTGCTTAATATACCCATAGTGGTGAAGGGTATCATATAGTCGGCCCCGTCCGACTTTACTACTTTCCTTACTGGTTTTTGTATGTATTTTTAATAAAAAAATAATAATGAAAAAAATCACAACCTAACCTCAAAAAAAATTTTAGGTTATATGCTTTGAAAAACTTTTTGAGAAAGGCTTATGATTTCCAAAATAAAATTCTATAAAATTAGAGTCAATTCGATTGGAAAACGTCCCTTAAAAATCTCCAAAAATCGAATATTAGGTGGTTCCGTTAAATGGGGACTAACCTTAAAAATGGACCAATATTGATAATTTGTTGAAGGACGATTTGCTAACCAATGAGGACCTAAAATACCAAATTACACACATTTAGCTTGAAAAATAGTGGGAAAAATCGCCAAAAATCGAATATTTCAGTGTTCCGTTATATGGGTACTAATCATAAAAATGGACCAATATTGATAATTTGTTGAAGGACGATTTGCTAGCCATTGAGGACCTAAAATACCAAATTACAGACATTTCGCTTGAAAAATGTTGGGGAAAATCACCAAAAATCGAATATTTAAGGTTCCGTTATATGGAGATTACCCTTAAAAATGGACCAATATTCATAATTTTTGGTAGGAAGATTTACTATCCAACGAGAACCTAATATACCAAATTACAAGCATTTCGGACGAAAAAGATCCAAAAATCCGCAAAAATTGGAAAATATGGGGGTTGCGTTATATTAAAAATTAAATCAATATTGATCATTCTTTGTGGGGTGAATTCCTACCCAGCAAGAATCTCGAATAACAAATTTCAACCATTTCGGTTGAAAAATTTTGCGGAAATCACCAAAAATCGAATTCTTAGGAGTTCCGTCAAACGGGGACTACCCTTAAAAGTTGACCAATTTTGATCATTTGTGGTAGGAAGATTTGCTAACCAATGACGACCTAAAATACCAAATTAGAACCATTTCGGTTGAAAAAAGTGGCCAAAATCGGCAAAAATCGAATATATTCGGGTTTCCGTTATATGGAGGCTACCATTAAAAATGGACCAATATTCATAATTTTTGGTAGAAAGATTTGCTAAACAATGTGAACCTCAAATACCCAATTACAGCCAAAAAGGTTGAAAAACGCCCCCAAAATTCGCATAAATCGAAAAATACGAGGGTTACGTTATATGGGGAATACCCTTAAAAATATACCAATATTGAAAATTTTTGGTAGAGAGATTTTCTACCCAACAAGAATCTAAAATACCAAATTACTACCATATTTCTCTAGAATAAATTTTCCCAAAATCCTCAAAAATCGAATATTTGAGGGTTCCGTTATATGGGGACTACCCTAAAAAGTGCAACAATATTGATAATTTTTGGTAGAGGGATTCTCTACCCAACGATAATTTGAAATATTAAATTTCAGCAATTTCGGTTGAAAAACGTTCCTGAAAATTACCAAAAATCGAATATTTGAGGGTTCCGTTAAATGGGGACTACCCTTAAAAGTGGACCAATGTTTATCATTCTAGGTAGAAAGATTATCTACCCGATGAGAAGCTAAAATAGCAAATTTCAACCATTCCTGTTGAAATAGGCCGGACAAAATTCCCAAAAATCGAATATTTTGGGGTTCCGTTAAATGATAATCTAAAATATTAGTCATTTAGTTTGAAAAATATTGTCGAAACCAGCAACAAATCGAATATTTAGGGGATCCGTTATATGGGGACTACTCTAAAAATTAAACCAATATTGATAATTTTTAGTAGAGAGATTTTCTACCCAACAAGAATCTAAAATATCAAATTTAAGTCAATTCGGTTGAAAAACGTCCCTAAAATCACCAAAAATCGATTATTAGCGTGTTCCGTTATTTGGGAAACTACCCTTAAAAATGGACCAATATTCATAATTTTTGGTAGGAAGAATTGCTAAGCAATGAAAATCTAAAATATCAAATTACACGCATTTCGGACGAAAAACAACCCCAAAATTCGCAAAAATCGAAAAAACAGGGGGGTTACGTTATATGGGAACCACCCTTGAAAATTGAGAAATATTCATAATTTTTGGTAGGAAGATTTACTACCCAACGAGAACCTAAATTACTAAATTACAGGCATTTCGGACGAAAAGCAACCCAAAAATTCGCAAAAATCGAAAAATACGAGGGTTACGTTATATGGGTTCTTACCGGAAACTTCAATCAATATTGATAAATTTTCGTACGATTTTTAAAGCAATGAGAACCTAAAATTCCAATTTACAACCATTTCGGTTGAAAAAAGTGGCCAAAATCGATTAGTAATCCGGTATATGGGGGCCATACCAAAACGTGGACTGGTGTATCCCATTTTCAATAACAATCATCCTAGTAGTATTAGCAAGGTATGTGCAAAATTTTAAAGCTCTATCTTATATATTACGAACTTTATCGTGATTTGGCAAAATTAACCTAACCTCAAAATCTCATAAAAGCTTTTCTCGATTTCAATTAGAAAAAAATATTTGCCATTAAATTCCTCTAATTTTTTCATTATTTTCAAATCTTTCCCTCATGTTTTTAATATTTCAATAAATAAAAATTATCGTATCTATGCATCTACCTCTATAGAACTCTATGTACATAATAAAAATTAACTAAATCGTAACATTCCAAATTCAATCATTTCCATTGTGATCATCATCATCAAACCCAATATAAATTTCAAAAAAATAAAATATTGAATCAAAATAAAATACATAGATAATACGCCCCATACATACCATTGTGTACAATTGGATAAATCAATATTAGTCAATGCTTTGCATGTACGTATCGCTGTACGTATCAATACCGATGGATCGGTATCCGGGTTTTCACCATCCAGCGATGGTGACCATGGTCCACCAATGGCCATTGGTTCTTTGGAGCCTTTGAGGCCAACCAAAAAATTGATGAGACGTGATAAATGTCCCGGTTGCTGATGATCCGCATCATCTTTATTATTATTTTCAAAACATTTCCGATAGATTTCGGCAATTGGTGGCAACGACAGAAGCATTACTTTAGCCGAATACACATAATCCGCATCGGCTGGTTCTAGTTCATCCTGGGAAGGTTGTTCGAATGGAGATTCGGCATTTTTATCCATTAAATGAAATTGACAGGGTCGTCGCAGCGAGAATGGATTATCGGGTGTAAATGTTTCGGTCCATTTGATATTGGCATGGAAAAAGTCCGATGGTATATAAAGTGATGAGTAACGATTGCGTAGGGTTTGAATATCCGCATATTTACTAAAAATTAAAGAAAAATTTCGATTATTTTAAATTAATTAATAAAAAATAAATGATAATTTTTTGACAGATAATTGAAATTTCGATTAATTTTTTTTATAGATTATTTGTTTATAGAAAATTGACGTTATCGATAATTTTTCAATAGGAAAA